CCAACCACCCAACCAGGACTCCGATGAAAGAGATGGCAGATACTACACCAAAGTCACAGGCAATATTTCCTTTCTCTCTTCCTCCACCCGGGCTTGGGCTGACAGAAGGCTGGGGCCCCTGGTCACTGCATCCCCGCTGCACCATAATCCAGGGGGTTTCACCAGCTGATCTCACCATTCCTACCATCCTCCTCATCTGACAGTCACGGTTGTTCTCTGGGGGGAGAGGGGGTTGGGATAGGCTGACAAATCGCAGACCAGGGCTCTGCTAAAATAATTACACTGCTGGTGGTTAACATTAATGGGGTATCTATGTGCCAGGCACAGTGCCCAAGACTTTTCATGTTGCCATCACGACAACTCTACAGTTAAATCACGTTCCTCTCGTGACAAGAAAACTGAAGATTAGAAAAGTAACTTTCGCCAACGACAAAGCACTGTGCCAGAACTCACCCCAGTCTGATGACAAAGCCCTGTGCTAAAAACTCCCCGGGGGGGGGGGGCGCCTGGGTGGCCCAGTCAGTTAGGCGTTTGACTTGTGATTTCAGCTCAGGTCATAATCTCAGGGTCTTGGGATCTGGCCCTGTGTTGGGCTCTGCGCTCAGCAGGGAGTCTGCTGGAGATCCTCTCTCCCTCTCCCTCTCCTTCTCTTTTATTTATTTGAGAGAGAGAGAGCATAAGCGGGGGGAGGGGCAGAGGGAGAAGCAGACTCCCTGCTGAGTAGGGATCCCAATGTGGGGCTCGATCCCAGGACCCTGGGATCATGACCTGAGCCAAAGGCAGACGCTTAACCGACTGAGCCACCCAGGCTCCCCTAAATAAATAAATCTTTTTAAAAAAAGCTCCTAGTGAGAACCACCCAAAGGCTCAAAGTCTTCTCGGCTTCTCTCAATCCATAGTCAGCCTGCAGAACAATACAAACTGGGTGGGGGTTCCTGCCCTGAGCAACCCTCCCTTCCCTTGTGCCCCTTCTCTCCTTCACCCACCAAAGACAAGAGATGGTATTTCAAAGAAAAACAGAAAACACCAAGACTGAAAGGTACAGTTTCTCCAAACGTTGCAACCTCATTAGGAAAACCTAAAAGAAGAGGTGGTTGGAAGGGGCACCCAGGAAAGAATAAATGCTCCTTGCTCAGCACCTTCCCCTCATGGGCCTCTAAAGCTCTTCCTGAACATGAAGCCAGACTTAAAACCTGGGACCAGATTGCTTTATGCAAACTGACAGGTATACTTTACCTGCCCTCTTCCTTACCTGCCCTAATTTTTTGAGTCTGCCATCACTTTCATTATTCTTTCCCAGATCTTTTCAAGTCTCCTTCTCTCATCTTTCTTCAGCAGCTCAAGGAGACTTTGTAATTGTAGCCGGCATAGAGCTGATGCTAAACATAGCTTATTTCCTGGTTCTTGAGGCTCACAGCCCTACAGATTTATCCTTAAACCAAACTCATTAGTTTTTGGTGCTTCTTAAAAAACAGAACCCTGACCCTGATTGCTGTTGGCCCACTAGGACCCTCAGATTTCTTCTCATAACTGAGCATATGATTCAAGACCTCATTTTCTAAGTTGCCACGTAAGAGATTAGATCAAAAAGTGAAAAGGAGAGAAGAGAGTTGAGGAAGCAGATAGGAAAGCGTATGGCAGCCCGATGCAGGCTCTGACCTCAGCAAAGGGGATCTTCTCACCTCTCATTCCCATTACCTGGTGGGATAGACCTCCGCTACAGTGGGGGTGGAGCATCCCATGAAGAAGAGAGGGGCGCAAAGGACCATGGAGATGGTGATGATGGTGGCAGCCACGCGGGGAATGGTTTGCAGAGAGAAAACAAAACGCTTCATGAGGATTCCTCCAAACAGCATCCCCAATGCTGCGGCAGGAAGGTTCACAGCACCTACAGATAAAGAGAAGCTGTCTGGGTGCACAGGACTGGAAGTGGGGGCAGGGCACAGACACTGAGCTGAACCATGGACAAAGGGGCATGGCTACTTGAAGGAACATTTGATACATTCAATTGCAGTGGTAATAACTGACATTAATTGAGCACTTACTATTTGCCAGGAGCATCTACAGAGTTATCCTGACTTAGCAGATTGCCCTGCTTGTGCAAAGAATAAAGAAACAAGTGGAGTCCTTGCAGCCAGAGGGATGTGGGTTGAAGGTGCATTTATTAAGCACCTTTCATTACCTGGCCCCTCATTGCATTCTCACTGTGACCAGATGGGTCCCACGGTGGTGTCGCTGTCTGATGTGCTAGCTGGTGACTGAAGGCTAAAGGGATGAGGTCACAGCCAATGCCCTGACCACCCTGCCACATCCATATGGCCAGGCTCACCTGTGGACTGGGCTCTGTAGTTCACTTTGGTACTTGGTGGGACCACATCAGTGCCTCTCAACGTCAGCTGCACAAAATACCAACGCTGGGCCCCACTCAGAGATTCTGCTTTCATTGACTGAGCAGGGAGCCTGGGTGACTGTATTTTTTAAAAGTTGTCCAGGGAATCCTAAAGTGCAGCCAGGGTAGAGAATCACTGGGCCACATATTCCTTACCCAAGTGAATGTATCTGAGTCCTTGGTGAAGAAAGGAAAAAAACCACGAGGCATTTTGCCTAACCCCAAATTCTACCTTCTCTCTTTCCTCTGTTTGCCCTGATGATGTCAGGGCCTTGGGAGGCTGTCAGGTTTCCAGCCCCTCTGACGGGGAGGAAGGCAGACCCTAGCCTCCACCCACTCCTGCCTGGAATGATAGGGGCCCCAAAGATCTGCCAAGAACATTCTAGATTGCTAACCAGGAAAAATGTCCTTAAAATTCTTTCCTCTGGGCCAGTTCTCCTCTGGCTCTTGTCTGTGTCCGGTCTGGCCTCGCCCATCCCTGGATGGGTGGAGGAGGGCCAGCCACTCCTACAGGCAGGGCCCCCCAGCTCCTGCAGGACCCCCACCCTCCAGACTCACCAATGAGGAAGTTGGCATAGGCTGCGGAGGCACCATACTGCTTCTCCAGGAACTTGTTGAGGAATGTGGAGAGGCCAGCAATGACAGAGGAGAAGGTGCACTGGGCCAGGACCACCAGCATGAAGAGTGGGTTCATCAGCAGCCTCAGGAAGATGCGGGGAAAGCCTGCAAACAGATGGCTGTCAGGGGCCGGGCCCTCATGGCAGTCACCACACGGGTAGCTTGGGACTAGTCACTGCCCTTCCTCCTCCTCCAGGCAGCCTTCCTCTCTTCCTCAGGGCAGATCTGAGGCACCAAGATGTTCAGTGGCCAGGGGCACACAGCCGCTCGACTCCCACTCAACATGCCAACGGGCTAAGTAAAGTGAGGACGTGCCTGGGAGATATCAGGCAAAGCCTGGATAGAAATAGAGCTAACACTGGGAACATCCTCCTCACACGAGAGCCACCTCCATGTAAGAGGAGAGGAGAGAACACGGGGGCCGGACCATGGAGGTGGGGCTGACTCTGCTTAGCTCTGAGTCTCCTGGAACCTGCACAGAAGCAGTCACCAGGACCCCTGGCAGAACCCCTCCTGAGAGATGGGACCACCTGCTCTTACTGCCCCTTACCACACACCACACCACATGGGCTGGGATACCCCCTGACCCTCACTGCAAGCCAGGCCCGCCCCCCAGGACTTTGCTGGGTCAGTTAGTTACGTTTAATGAAATCCACCAGGGAGCTTCTTGGCTTGACCTCGTCCATCTTCCTTGCCTCATCCACTATGGCTGGAGACCTCTGCAGGCAGCAAAGGGGGTGAATGTTAAAGGCGTAGGCTCCCTGTAGTGACCCTTCCCTGGGCCCTTGCCCCTCCTGGTCTCGGTGGCTCAGGGGCGGGCAGCACTAAGCTGCCCCAGGTGTGGGTGAGAGGGCGCCCAGAGAATGCTCTCTTGAAGCAAATGCTACTTGCATGTCAGTGAGCCCAGTGCTGTGGCTGCCGGCCAGAACACATCCACGACAATGCCTCCCGACACTCCCCTGGGCATGTTATTCATATCTAACTTTCCCTTGACTGATGCCAAAAGGTGTCCGATCAGATCTCACCCCTTGTCTGTCTGTCATGGCTACACTTCCTCCCCGTCCTCAGATTCCAGGGGCCGCAGGCTTCTGGGATACACTGGTCTAGAATTACCTGTTTCTAGCTCTTTCTTTCTGTCTCCTCTATAGAGTTCCTGCTTCCTTCTGGGCCCAAAGCTGAGTCCTGCTCAAGGCTCCATCCTGGCCCCTGGCCCACACTTTCTACCCATACCACCTCAGTGAGCTCGCCTACCCCTTGTGAACTCGTCAGCTGCAGCTTTGAACCCCTGCACAAGGTGTGCAAGGCTCCCCCCGAGCCCTGATGCCATTGGGGCTCCCCTGGAGAACACACTACCAGGCACGGGAGCTCCCACGCACTGAGTGCTTACTCCACACCAGGCACCATGCCCAGCCTTCCACACGCATCGGCACTCCTCACAGCCTCCTCTGAGACTTGTGCTCTATCTCCAGTATTTTAAAGGAAACTTAGAAACAAGGAAACTTGCCCAAGATCACTCAGCATCTGGACTCAGACTCAGGTTTGCCTGACCCCCAAACCACCGTAATGCACTGACAACCTCTGAAATTCTTCCCCAAGACAAGCGGAGTCTCTCCCACTCCCGCCCCTCTTCCCACAGCTCGGCCTAGATCTCACACACCTCACTGCCAAACGCTGAGCTCTGGCTCTGGCTCACTTCGGCCCCCTTCTCCTCCAATCTGTCCGCCGCTCAGTCCTTGGCAGCCCCTCCAAGAACATCGCTCCCTGCCCTCGCCTCGGCTGCCCAGCAGCCCCCGCCCTGGCGCTCAGCCTCATCCCCCATCTCTACACAGGCCTCTTCAGATGGCCAGCCTCCCCTCCTTCCTGACTCCTCGACCTCAGCCCAGCTGCCATGGTGCCCCCTGCGTGGTCACCCAGTCACTGCAGCACCCCAGAACTTCATGGATTCGGAACAAGTTTTAGACCCTAGGCCTAACATCAAAGCCCCTCCTAGACCTCTCGTCTCTGTCTTCCATTCTCATCCTTTTCTGACTTCTTCCCCAGCAGACACACAGAAGGTCCATCTGCCCATAGTCGGCTCGCTCTTCAGCTCGCCCTCACGCTCTTCAGCTCTAGGGGGTCTCCTTCCAACTCAGTCCTGCAGGTTCACATGTGATGGGCCAACTGTGCCAGGTCATATATTCAGCTTTTCCTGGCTCTTCACTGTGAACTTGGTGTTTCCCAAACTGCATTCCCTGGAACCCTCCTGATACCTGAGATGCTGACATGGTAAGGGGACACTGGTGGGAGACCGTCTTTTGGAAATTCACCAGCACTCTCACCTCTCAAAGCCTCTGAGAAGTCCTGTGTCATATAACTTGTTTAGATTTCACCCAGAATTTGCTTCTCAGTTCAGTTTATTTTTTTCCCACACCTCCCTTTCTTGAACTCTGATAGGCAGGGAGTCACGGGCTCTCAGAACCTTACCTCCGCTTCCCTGAGCATTGTTCGAGGAAAGAAAAAAAAGGGGAAAGAGGTGAGAACCAAGGACGCTGAGGAGATGAGCAGGCCCAGCCACCAGGCTCCAATCCACCGGGGGTCTCCAGGGCTCAGGTTAACGGCAGCTGGGAAAGAAAGCAAAGGGAACAGTGTTTTCTGGATGAATGTGGGTTCTCATTTTGCTGTAAAGAGGGCCTTTGATCAGGGGGACTTTCTTCCCATGATGCAGAAGAGGTAAGCCATGAGCTAGAATCTGAGTCAAGACAACATTCCCTCTCCAGGCCATCTGGTCTCCAGAGCATGGTGACCACTGAGCATAAAGCAGAGCATCAGAGAATCCCCAGGCTGAAGGAATCAGAACCTTGGCCTCACTTTATTTTATTCCCAACCCTTGGTAGAAATAACAATGAAGGAGGCTGCATCCACCCACCTCCAACCAATCAGAAAACTGAGGATCAGAGACGTTAGCTTTGCACTGGTCCAAGGTCAAGGCTGGTAAGTATTATTTCATTGGTCAGTTTTAAACCCATGTCTCCCTGGTGTCCAAGCCTGCACTCTTAACCACTGACTGCTACTGCCTCCCAACTTTATTGATCCCTAAGAAAGGAGGCCCCATAATCCTTAGGAGCCTGAGGGAACAACCATCATCAGAGTGGGCTGCTGAGCCTCCAAAAGAGATACTTCTGGCAATGTCTCCCACCCGCATCTGAGAGTCTGCCATTGCGTCTCTCCTTGTAAAGAAACTATGTGGGCATGGAAGGAGGAAGAAGGTAGCAGAATGGCCCTCAGCCAAGCAATGCCAGGCATCGCTGGGCACTGGCCCTGGTACTGGGAGCTCAGCTGCAAGTCTCTTTGGGCAACCAAGAGGCAGGAACCAATTCAGGAAGTGCCAGTAAAAGGGCAAAGATGGCTTGACCCTGAGGCAGAAAGCTCCCCCGGGCTTTTCCCTGTCATGTGAAGTAAAGGCAGGTGACACCTCAAGGAAGACATCATGGTCTGATGGTCCCCAAGAACAGGAGTCTGTGGACTCTGGCAGCATGGTGGCTTTAATGCCTGTCCACATTCTTTGTGTGATGTGCAGGCTCTGATCTGTGTGCCAGGAACTGGTGGGAGTACTATTCCCAAGAGTCTGGCTCAGATCTGCCTTCTAGCCACATCTTCTGGCTAGTGGGAGCTTTCTGTACCACCACCACACTCCACACATGTTCCACCTCTTGGCTTTGTCCAAGTATTTTTCTCCACCTGGAAGGCAGAAATCCCACCCACCGATGGGGCTCAGTGCAGATGTCAGCTGCCTGGGAAGCCCTCCCTGACCACCTCGGGCAGGAGCACTGTCTCCTGCCTTGGAGCTTCCAAAGCACTTTGCCTGCCCCTCTGTGACAGTGCTGGCTCTCCCTGCCCTCTGGGAGGCTGGGTGGCATAGGACAAGCTTACAAAGGCCATGAGCTCTTGCAGGATTCACTGGGGGCTGGTTCCATGAGGGGTTACCTCAGTGTTTGTGCCCTGGTCTATAGACCATATGTCCTCTTCATTCTAAGATACACAGTGATTTAGTCCATACCATTTTGTGAAGAATAAGAGCTCATACCTGTAAACCTCTTAATATATATCAGGCATGTTCTAATCCTTACAACGACTCTATTTTACTATCATTAGCCCCACTTTATAGACGAGGAAACCGAGGCACAGAAAGATCTAGGTACTTGCTCAAGGTCACTCAGCCAGTGAGAGGTGGAACCAGGATTAGACACAGCTTGTTTACTGCCAATGCCCACATTGTTAAGCATGACGTGAATCATAATCCATGTGTATATTTTATGTAGTGCTTTTCTGATGCTCAAAAGAGCTCTTATTAAATCTTTTCTTAAAATAATTAAACACCACCTTAGAGTCCAAGGACCATAAAACTGTTTTTAATAGCACCACCAAGATGGGCAGCTGTGGTGGCAACAGCTGAGGCCCTGCCCCAGGTCTCAAGGTTTCCTGCTACGAACTTCCTGAGGACAGAAAGGGTCCTGGGCCAGAAGATTCACGCGGTCTGCTCCTGGCTGTCTGAGGCTCCGCAGGTGTGAATGAGTGAGGGAAGGAGAGGGCCCAAGCATCTGGAGTTAAAGCTTCATTTTCTGTCCTGCCTGGCTGGGGCCGGGGGGGCTGCTTCGTGGAACCAGTGGTAGGACAAGTATCCTTGCACACACTCACCTGTGTCCACTCTGCCATAGTCCACGAAGATCTGCAGCATGACGGAGCCCAGCAGGTACCCGAAGGCCGGTCCGAATACAGAGATGGCAAATAAGATGGCTGGAGAGGGGAGCAGGCAAAGGAGGCTGAGGGAGCTTGAGAGAGTGTGGCAGCCCCAGGTTCTTTCCCTAGCTGAGGGATTCCTGAGATGTCACGCCATCTGTCCCCTGGCCCTAACAAGTCCGCACTGAGGGCATTTCCCATAGACAAGACCAGAATCACTCAAGATCCTGAGATGTGCAGAACCAAAGCTGTTTCTCCTCCAGCCAGAGAGATCCACTTGCCAGGAGGAAAAGCCTCCCCAGCACTTAAAGATTCCTGCCGGGTGTGCTGGTGGGTGAGGCTCCCTGCGAGTATGATGCTGGGGGCCCTGGCAGGAGCTGTGGGGCTACTGAGCCAGTGCGGGTGCTCTGTCTGGTTTGGGGCATGGGCCTCGAGAATGCTCAGTGTGGCTTGTTCTAAGGGAAGGATGGGGGCAGTCAGGTGGTCATTGGTTATCTGCTTTGCTTGTCCTTCCTTGAGGCTGTCCTGTCCCTGAGTGGACGGTCAGGAAGACACGGGTACCCAGGCCTGTGCCTGGAGGACTGGACAGCAATAGTTCCAGGAGCTGGTAAGGAGCTCCCCTGTGCCCAGCGTGGGGCTAAGGGGTGACCTACATTACTTATATAATCCCACAGCTGCCCAGGGCACGGATACTATTAGCCCCGTTCTGCAAGCGAGGGAACCTGGGACCCTGGGGCCCAGCCACCTGCCCAGGATCACACAGCTTGTAGGTAACAGAGCTGGCCTTCCAGCCAGATCTGTCTGCTCCCCAAACCTCGGCACTCGTTTGCTGTGTTTAGTGGGGCAAAGAAGGTCCGACCTCGATTCAGCCCCTCAGGGCCTCAGCAAAGGCCACTTCAGGACTGGGCCCCCTCCCTGCTGCCCTCCTCAAGCCTGTGACTCACAGATGTACAGGGGTGAGTTGCTGGGCTCAGAGAAGTCGTCCACATAGGAGATTCCAAACGGCTGAATGGGCACCGTCCCAACGCCTGCCAGCAGCTGGCCGACCACCATGAGAGCCCACATACTGCTGGTCTCCTTCTGGGAGTCCTGGGTGGTGCTGTGGCACTTGCTGGGGGGCAGGTCCTGCCAGTGCTTCTGACAGAGCTCAGCTTGGAAGAAGCTGTTGTTCCCTGCAATGAGAGGGCATGCCAGTCACCAGCCGGTCTCCTGGCTCCACCAGCTGCCCTCCAAACCTGCCCTTCCTCTCAGGCCTCTGGGAAGTGACTATAGACACAGAGGTCAGAGTGTGGCCTCCCTGCTCTGCGAGCAGACCTTCTTGGGTGGGAGACGAATCTTCCGCCCATGGCTATCCATTCTTTGTCCTCTACGAGTACAGGCGGGGGCCTGAGCATGGAGGCTGATACTGTCATTCCCGGAGGAAAGGGTCACCCAGTTGAAAGAGGGGGATCCAGGATCAAAACCCAGGCTTGCTGGCCTGAAGTGCCCCATGCTCAGCCGCAAGCTTGAGGTCCTCAGGGTGTGGTTCTCTTTAGCAGGACAAAGGCCATTCTGTCTCACAGAAGACAGTGTCAGCCCCACCTGGGATGCATCGCTCCTGTGTCTTGACCCTCGGAGCCTGATTCCTGGATAAGCCTGGCAGTGTGTCACACAAAGGCATTTAATGTCCTTACTGAATGTGGGCAGCAACCAAGAATCCTACAACTTGGGGAGCTGGAAAGGACTTGAGACTGTCTAGTTTAGTCCCTCCTATTACAAATGGGCACCACAGGAGCCAGGCTGCACCTTGAGACCCTTCTGTGAGGGTCCCAGAGACTCCCAGCGTGCCATGAGCACCATGCAGCCTGTGGCTGTGGGGACCAGGCCAGGCTGGACTGCCACTCCATGCGGCTGTTTTTAACTTGGCCCACACTAACCAATCAGCACTGTCTGCTCTCCAAGGCCTTGAGAGATCTTGAGGTCTCCCTTCCATAAGATCCCTTCTTCTCAACAAATATTGTGAAAATGTCTATGCTACCTAGAGCAATCTACACATTTAATGTAATCCCTATCAAAATACCATCAACTTTTTTCAAAGAAATGGAACAAATGATCCTAAAATTTGTATGGAACAAAAAAAGACCCTGAATAGCCAGAGGAATGTTGAAAAAGAAAAGCAAAGCTGGTGGCATCACAAGTCCGGACTTCAAGCTCTATTACAAAGCTGTCATCATCAGTATATGTGCTGCTGAAGCGAGCACAAGCTGTCATCATCAGGACAGTATGGTACTGGCACAAAAACAGACACATAGATCAATGGAACAGAATAGAGAGCCCAGAAATGGACCCTCAACTCTATGGTCAACTCATCTTCGACAAAGCAGGAAAGAATGTCCAATGGAAAAAAGACAGTCTCTTCAACAAATGATGTTGGGAAAATTGGACAGCCACATGCAGAAGAATGAAACTGGACCATTTCCTTACACCACACACAAAAATAGACTCAAAATGGAAGAAAGACCTAAATGTGAGACAGGAATCCATCAAAATCCTAGAGGAGAACACAGGCAACAACCTCTTCGACCTCAGCCACAGCAAATTCTTCCTAGACACATCGCCAAAGGCAAGGGAAGCAAGGGCAAAAATGAACTATTGGGACTTCATCAAGATAAAAAGCTTTTGCACAGCACAGGAAACAGTCAACAAAACAAAAGACAACCAGCAGAATGGGAGAAGATACTTGCAAATGACAGATCAGATAAAGGGCAAGTATCCAAAATCTATAAAGAACTAATCAAACTCAACAAACTCAACAAATAGAACAAATAATCCAATCAAGAAATGGGCAGAAGACTTGAACAGACATTTCTGCAAAGAAGACATCCAAATGGCCAACAGACACATGAAAAAGTGCTCAACATCACTTGGCATCAGGGAAATCCAAATCAAAACCTCAATGAGATACCACCTCACACCAGTCAGAATGGCTAAAATTAACAAGTCGGAAACGACAGATGTTGGCGAGGATGCGGAGAAAGGGGAACTCTCCTACACTGTTGGTGGGAATGCAAGCTGGTGCAGCCACTCTGGAAAACAGTATGGAGGTTCCTCAAAAAGTTGAAATAGAATGACCCTACGACCCAGCAATTGCACTACTGGGTATTTACCCCAAAGATACAAATGTAGTGATCTGAAGGGGCATGTGCACCCCAGTGTTTATAGCAGTAATGTCCACAAGAGCCAAACTATGGACAGAGCCTAGATGTTCATCAACAGATGAATAGATAAAGAAGATGTGGTATATATATATACAATGGAATATTATGTAGCCATCAAAAAATGAAATCTTGCCATTTGCAATGATGTGGATGGAACTAGAGGGGATTATGCTAAGCGAAATGAGTCAATCAGAGAAAGACAATTATCATATGATCTCACTGATACGAGGAATTTGAGAAACAAGACAGACGATCATAGGGGAAGGGAAGGAAAATGAAACAAGAAGAAACCAGAGCGGGAGACAAACCGTAAGAGACTCTTAATCTCAGGAAACAAACTGAGGGTTGCTGGAGGGGAGGCGGGTAGGAGGGATGGGGTGGCTGGGTGATGGACTTTGGGGAGGGTATGTGCTATGGTGAGCACTGTGCATTGTGTAAGACTGTTGAATCACAGACCTGTGCCTCTGAAACAAATAATACATTATGTTAAAAAAAAAAAAAAAAAGATCCCTTCTTCTCTTAGCTTGTCCAAGCCAATGGACACCACTGACATCACTGATCTTGCTCTATGGGTTTGTTCATTTCATACTAACCTAATTCCCTTTAATTCTCATTTGGGGTCCTCCCAGAGAGGGTATCAGCCCTGATCTCTGTGGGCCTCAAAGCCCCACAGAGAGGAAATATGAGGGCTGCAGACCAGATCTGTCCCTTAGGCTCAACTCTGCCCCAGGCTGCCCTGGATGGTGGGGTGGGGGCGGGTCTGCTCTCCTCATTGCCCTCTCCCTCCCCCAGGCACACATGTTCTGTCCAGCCTGGCCCCACTCTTACCTGTCCTCTACACTGGTGTTTGTATAGGATACATTTGAAAACTGCTGACCTACGGGGCTCCCCAACTGAACAGGAGGCCTATCCTAGGAACAGCAAGGGAGGGCAAGATGTCTTCTTGTCAGAGTCATCCAGACAGGGGGAAAGCTTAAATGCTGAGTCCTGAAAAAACTCCCGGGCCAAATTTCATTCATCCTCAGTTGGTCAGTTATTTAGCCATAGTGACTGTGGGCAGGCACTCTGCTGGGGTGGGCGACAGGAGGTGATGGAGAGAGGCACAGGTGCTGCTTTTACAAACTCTTCAGCCTACTGGGGTACACAGCTTATTGAACAAGCGACCACAGCATTGCCTGGTCCAATCCAAACCACAATGAGATACCCTTTCACACCCATCAGGATGGTTGTTATCAACAACAACAAACAGAAAACATCGTGTTGTTTGTGTAAGATGTGGAAAAAGTTAGAGCCCTTGTACACTGCTGGAAGGAATGCAAAATGGTGTGGCCACTATGGAAAACAGTACAGCGATTCCTCAAGAAAACTTTAAATACAACTGCCATATGATTCAGCATTTACACCTCTGGGTATATACCCAAAAGAATGTAAAACAGGACTTAACAGATATTCGTACACCAGCGTTCATAGCAGGGTTATTCACAATAGCCAAAAGGTGGAAACAATCCAAATGTCCACCAACACAATTAATGTGATAGATAGGTACAATGGAATATCACTGAGCCTTAAAAAGGAAGGGAATTCTGACACATGCTACATACAAAATGGAAGAACCCTGAAGACATTATGCTAACTGAAATAAGCCAGACACGAAAGTACAAACATTGCAGACTCCACTTATATGAAGAAACTCGAATAGACAAATTCACAGAGACAGAATGTAGAATGGTGGTTATTGGGGGCTGGGTGGGAGGTGGAATGGGGGGTTAGTGTTTAGCGGGTACAGCTTCAGCTGGGAAAGATGAAAAGTTCTGGAGATGGATGGTGTTGATGGTCATACAATAGTGTGAATGTACTCAATGCCATTGAACTATACACTTAAAAATAGTGAGAACGGGGGCGCCTGGGTGGCTCAGTTGTTAAG